AGACCAAGCCCATTTTGGATAAAACATAAGGGAGGGGTGGTCATAAGGGGGGCTTTAGTGTGTTATGTCAGTTGACGTCATTGGTGTGCAACTTCCTGCTTTCCTGCAGGCGTCATCTGATGCCAGTTCAGATTTACAGTCCTTCAGGTGGCTTTTTTTTCTTTAATTTGTTTGCTGTGCCCATCCCTCAGTTGGACTGCTGTTGGACATCCCAACAGTACAAGAGGTACTGTGTCTCTTAATGGACAAGAAGGAAAATAAGATTTTTGTTCTCGCCATATAACAATTGTCTTGGAGTCCATTGAGGGCTTTGCTTCAAAACTAAGGCAATTCTGGGAGTAGGGAAGATTATCCTGGGCTGGCTTACAGTTGTTTTTTTTTGGCCAGTGTCTAATCCCTCTGTATAAAGCATTATAACCCAAGAGTATAAGACTTTGTGTCCCTTAAAGAAATAAAAGAACTAGATTTTACGGTGAGCACAAAAATGCAATTTTTTTCTTGCTCCTCTCTGGTTGTGAAGCAGCCCTAATTTGTGTAATGTGGGGGTGGTGAATGTGGACTTGTTTTGTATGCCTGTCACTGACTTCATTTTGTATTTTAGGAAATGTGCAATGATTTCTGCTCACTATGGACTAAGTGATGTTTTTGACAACCTCATCATTTCCTTGTGCAAATTTACAACTCTTAGTAGTGAGGTGAGGTGTAGTTCAAAAAATATTTACATTTGCCTGCTTTTCATGATGACAGTAAGGTTAGTACACCTAGTAGTGATATTTCTTTTTTTAAAGGGGAGCCAAGGGGGATGAGTCATCCCCTGGCTTCATTAGGAAATCCCCACCACACATCTAACCGACTCCATCTTCTGAGTGCTGTAGTAACGTGTGAATGGATGCAAATAATCCAAACAAGAAATGTTACTAGAACACCTTCATATCTTAATCCGAAGAAAATGCTTTTATTGACATTCATTCTGTATAGGAGAAAGCAACATTTGGAACCTTAATCAGGCAAAAGTAACAATCACTAACCTATATACCAATGCAAAATAACAAAACACCAGTGAAAACTGCTCTCCCCCTCTCCTCTGACATCGTATTGATGTAAAATTCCCACCATTACACAGTAAATACTGTATACACACATGTAAGAAAAAGGGAGAATTTCACTGGCGCACAGGCGAATTCAATAAATCAGTTGGTGCTTTACATATTTATTGATAAACCATACCAATGGCTGTGACGTAAGGTTCCTTGGGCTCAGATCTAGTCATGTGCTGCTGTGGGCCACAGAACTTATACTGCTTATAGTCTCATTGAGATGAATGGTTGCTGTGACCACACGGGCAGTTATCAGAGGTCAGTGCTGTGGCCTGCGGTGGAGCATGGTAAAGATCAGAGCCCACAGGAACCTTACTCCACAGCCACTGATATTTTATTAATAGATATGGACAGCACCAACTGGTTTATTGGACTCCTTTGTGTACTGGTGAAATTCTGAAATCTTTTACATCTGTGTATACTGTATATTATTATATAATGGTGGGAATGTGACATCAGCATGACAACAGAGGGGAGGGGAAAGAGCATTTTTCATTTGTGTTCTTTCATTTTGTTCTGGTATATAGGTTAGTGATTGTTTGTACCTATCCCCTGGCTTCTGTTGGCAAGATCTCTGTGCTGTAGCTGCTTGCTCTATATGCTGCCTGTCTGTGCATATATCATTCCATGTGTGTTTCTAAATCTCCTTTTGCTTCCTCCATAATAAAAAATGAATGGTGTATCAAAAGGGGAGAGTGAGACTTTCTCATATTGACTTAGATGAGTGTGTTGGCCTGGAAACTCGGATCTAGAGATTTTTTACCAGCAGAGTCCCTAGTGATTGTAATTCCAACATTGGATAAAATCTGAACTGTGAGTTTTGGATGTACTGTCCCATTTAATATCCCTCAGCAGTTGGTGTATATGCTGCTATATATTCAATCCTGAGGGCCCATTCATATAGACCCAATTGAGTCCCAACGCATAGACAAGTTGGGTGTGCTGAAAAAGAGTGGGACGGGTTGCATGTTTGTGGAGTGTGTTCCGATGTGCTGTAACACATTACAATTCACTGCTACACATAATATCAAGTTAAAGTGTATTTCCACTTTTGCAGTCAAATTTTAGAAAGCCCCTCCATATGTTCATTCCTATTGTTCCTCCATATGTTCATTCCTATGTGTTCCTATTCACACAGCATAGTGAAAAAAAACTTTCTTACCTTTTAGATGTTTTGTCAAAGCAGCCAAGATGGCTGATTTCACAGTGGTCTGTCCCAATGGAAAGGCTTGGGAGTGAAATTTGATGATTGTGTTTTACCTGATCTTCATTAACATACAATGCACTAGCCACCTTAGACCCCTCACAGTCCCTCCTAACATTTCAAAGGAATAGAAACAAGAAAAGATTTAAACCCTTAAAACCCTAACCCAAGTAAAAACTGCAAAAATCATATGTGTGTGTGTGTGTATGTATATGTATATGTATATGTATATATATATATATATCTATATCTTTATATATATTATATATTTTTTTTTTCCTGAGCTCTGATCATGAAGGGTGAAGATATTATATTGTATATTATGTTGACGAATGTACTTTAGAGATGTTTTAATGGTTGATTATGTTTACATTTGGTTTAGGCTGCAGAGAATCTCCCTACTGTTTTTGGAAGCAACCCAAAGGCTCAGATAGCTGCCAAAACTGTTTTCCACCTGGCACACAGACATGGAGATATTCTGCGCGAGGGTTGGAAAAATATCATGGACTCCATGTTGCAACTGTTCAGGGCCGAGCTGCTGCCGAAGGCTATGGTTGAGGTGGGCTACTTGTGTGAAAGGTTGTAATGTTTTTTTCTGTTATTGATATTAATGTGAAAATGATTAAGCTCAAAAATATTTGAGCATTGTTATTAATTGACCTGTTAACTTTTCAGGTTGAAGACTTTGTTGATCCGAATGGCAAAATTTCTCTTCAGCGGGAAGAAATCCCTGCAAATCGGTATGTGTGATATTGTTGAAGGTGCAGAGTTGAATTAGGGACTCAGATGCTTTCTTAGAAGATGTAATTAAAATTCTACCATAATGATGGGTTGCTCTGACAATGGATTTCCATCCCCCTAGTTAAGAGTGTATTGCAGCTAATCTTGAAGTGTTCCACTCCTCCTACTCCAACCCCTGTTTCTAATAATATATAATACTTATGAAACCCAACAGGAATAATGGGCCTGCCATTTGGTGGCCACAGTATGCGTCTGTACCTTAGTCCAGAGATCTCACTGCTAGTGTTCCAGGAAAAGGAAGAAAATGGTTTTAATTGTACTACATCCGCAAAAACGGAAATCTCAGTTTTGTTTAGTGTTGTTTTGGCCGTGGTTAAAAAAAACTTTGCAGTTAGAAATGAAAGTGACATTGTGGCATTTTTAAGATTTAACTTCAGGATTTAAATCTTTAAAAATGCATTCAAGTACCCTATCTTATATGTGTATCACTCGGCTGTAGATCCTCAAATCATCTCTGAATTTATGCCGAGACTGTCCTTCCTTCTGGAGAGTGGCTACTTTTGTTCCCCATGGTCCCTGTGTGTGTTGTAAAGTAGCCACCACTCTAAGCTCACTCCTGTGATAGACTATAGTTTCATTACAAATTAGCTTACTAAACGTGAGATTGTAGTCCATCCAGGGAGAGAGCTCGGAGTGAGCAATGGACTCAAAAAGAAGATTTTACAGTTGGTACAAAAATCCTGTTATTTGTAAGTACCTGCAATTGATATACACTATATTGCCAAAAGTATTGGGACGCCCTTCCAAATCATTGGTTTCAGGTGTTCCGTGAAATTTCCTTGCTACTAAATAATCCACGGTCAACTGCTAGTGGTATTATAACAAAGTGGAAGCAACTGGGAGCAACAGCAACTCAGCCACGAATTGGTAGGCCACGTAACATGACAGAGCGGGATCAGCGCATGCTGAAGTGCGCAGAAGTCGCCAACTGTCTGCAGAGTCAATAGCTACAGACCTCCAAACTTCGTGTGTCCTTCGGATTGGCGCAACAACAGTGCGCAGAGAGCTTCATGGAATGGGTTTCCATGGCCGAGCAGCTGCATCTAAGCCTTACATCACCAAGTGCAATGCAAAGCGTCAGGTGCAGTGGTGTGAAGCACGCCGCCACTGGACTCGAGACTCGGACTAGAGAAGTGGAGATGTGCTCTCTGGAGTGACTAATCACGCTTCTCTGTCTGGCAATCCGATGGATGTGTCTGTGTTTGGTGGTTGCCAGGAGAACAGTACTTGCCTGACTGCATTGTGCCAAATGTAAAGTTTGGTGGAGGGGGGATTATGGTGTGGGGTTGTTTTTCAGGGGTTGGGATTGGCCCCTTGGTTCCAGTGAAGGGAACTCTTAAGGCATCAGCATACCAAGACATTGTGGACAATTTCATGCTCCCAACTTTGTGGGAACAGTTTAGGGATGGCCCCTTCCTGTTCCAACATGAATGTGCACCAGTGCACAAAGCAAGGTCCATAAAGACATGGGTGAGTGAGTTTGGGGTGGAGGAACTTGACTGGCCTGCAGAGTCCTGACCTCAACCCGATGGAACACCTTTGGGATGAATTAGAGCGGAGGCTGCAAGCCAGGCCTTCTCGTCCAACATCAGTACCTGACCTCACAAATGCACTTCTGGAAGAATGGTCAAACATTCCCATAGACACACTCCTAATCCTTGTGGACGCCTTCCCAGAAGAGTTGAAGCTGTTATAGCGGCAAAGAGTGGGCCAACTCAATATTGAACCCTACGGACTAAGACTGGGATACTGTTAAAGTTCATTTGCCTTCTAAAGGCTGGCGTCCCAATACTTTTGGTAATATAGTGTATATTATGTATCGTTATACTAAATTACTGTACTGTTAAAGTTAGATTGAAAATGCCCAAACAGGGTAATTTTGCACCAATGCCAGCAGTAGAGTATGGCAGCCAGGGAACCACCACTAATAAAACCTTGTCTTTTCACTGTTGTTTTCAACTGATAGGCTTGTACTGGGAGGTGTCTATGCATGTTATCGGTCATGGAGGCTATTACTCTGGACAACTCACCTTTTGAAAATGCTAGCTGTTCTGACCCAATGGGTGTATTACTTTGAGTTACAGACCCAAAATGAGCATGCAAATAAGGATTTCTGGCTTTTTTTCCCCCTCTCTGATCCTTGATCTGCATACTTGTCTAGGTCATTGTGGCAGAGTATTAAAGCAGTTTAACCAGTATAACATCCAGGCAGATAGCATTTTCAGCAATGGCAACCTTCCCATTTTCCTGATGTGTAGTAACCCACCAGCAAACTTTGGTTCAGTGTGCTTGCCATAACTGTAGTGTTGTTTTTGAGGTGTTTATAAAGAATACTCTTGTCCTGTGATAACAATGCAACTCTTTTTTTTTTCCTGTAGTGGGGAGTCATCTGTCCTAAGTTTTGTCAGTTGGCTGACCCTGAGTAACACTGAGCAGTCAAGTCTGAGAGGACCTACTGAAAACCAAGAATCCAAGAAGCTAGCACTGGAGTGTATAAAGGTGTGAAATAAGAACATATTACATCATTCATATTCTTATATAGTCAATCTGATTTGTTGACCCGGAATGGATCTGACTATGGAGGGTTTCTTCCATTTCGTTTGTTATTTTCCAACTCAAGTTAGTAAAAAGCAAAATCCTATTTTGTCAATCATATTTCGTACACTTTTACACTACCAGTTTTGAGATTTTAGGTCCCTGTCTGTTCTTTGTTAGTATCAGATTTGTCCTAGTAAAATGGTTTTGATAAATCTCCATATTTGTGGAGAAACATTTTATTACCAATGGAGAGAGAAAAAAAGAAGATTATCCACTAGCTTGCAAAATAAAAATGTCTTCTTACTGATATAATTTTTCCATTTTCTGTAGTTATGTGATCCAGAGAAACTCATTACAGAGAGCAAATTTCTCCAGTTGGAATCTTTACAGGAATTAATGAAGGTAAGTAAGTCGGTGTATAATGCTTTTCCATTGGCAGGGCCTCCTCTAACTCATGATCAATGTTAAATTTGGCTTTCCTGGGATTGGAGCAGGCTGCAAATGCCACAAGTCACTCTATAGCGGATGTCCTACAGGGATGTCCTACAGGCGGGGTCTTACAGTGCACTATGGTTGCATTGTACAATATGTATATTTCAGATTGTGGTATTATGTAAGCAACTGTAATCAAATTTACAATAAAAACACAAAAACAACTACAGATATAAATGACAGGTAAAATTTAAATGGTGTATTGTATACTGAGTGTCTGCCAAGATGTGGAATGGCGCAGGTTATGAGTTTCTGTCTTCCAGCACTAGTGTAAGCCTGTACTGTACTCTGTATACTGTAGAGTTATGGAGACAATGTAATGCCTATGCAGACAGGTACTGTAGACTACCTACATAACAACTGTCATAGCAGAAGACACTGGTCTTTTATCAAGCAAAAAAAATAGATGCAAAGTAGGCTGCGTCTCTTTTAGCTAGGAGACCGTTCTACTGTGTATTTGCGATCCTTGCATCTATAATCCTAAGTAGCCTACTACTATAGATTTGCAAAGTTCTAAGACAGATTTAGCCCTGACAATTCAGTGTTATGAGCCCCGTCTGTTTTCTATTTCTAGACATAAACTTAACATGAACCTGTTGCTTTGCGCTGCATGAGTAAAGTTAGGTTTGCTTAAAAGTCTATTCCATATTTTATTTATGTCACCATGGGCTGGTTTTTCCCCTCTTTAAGCTTAAATGTATGTTTGGCTATGTTTTGAGAAGCTTTCTCCAAGTCATATGTATGTTCAGGGATGCTTGGAAATGTTTTTGAAAACTTCTTCACCTTATTTGGGCATTTTACCTGTGAAAGTGATGAGTCAAAAGATTTTCTCAAGAAACAAAATAAAACAGTTGTAAGTTAGGCTATGTGCATAGCTGCCCATGTCTACCGTATTCGTACACAGTAATGCGTTTGTTCTTTTTAGGCTTTGATATCTGTGACTCCAGATGAAGAAACATATGATGAAGAAGATGCTGCCTTCTGCCTGGAGATGTTGCTGAGGATTGTTCTTGAAAACAGGTGCCATGAAAAAGTCATGATTTTAGACAGGCATATGTTTATTTGTAGGTATGTCGGTATGCATTCTGCATTTTTTGTGATATCTTTTGTAGATTTCTATAGTTGAAAAGATCCTGTGCCTCATGTGTCGGTGTTGACACTAAAAGCTCTTGACCTTGCCCTTCAACCACCAAGCAGCTTTAGTACTAACATTTTAATACAAGAGACACAAGTGTAGCTCAATAACAAAACTTGGAGTTAGCATAGCATTAATCATGCAATACCATGCACTATGTGCTTTGCCATTCATTTGAATGGCACCCCAACACACCTCCCGGCTGCCATGCACTTCAGTGCAGCACAACGTGTGGTACCGGAATACCAAGCATTGCAGTGCGACATTACACGTTATGCTCCGTTACAGCACACAGCGGCCAGGAGATGCATTAGGGTACCATTAAAATTATTGGCAACGCACCTAGCACACGGTAAAACCTCCAGCACACAGGTTGGTCTTTCCCCCAATAAGATCCCACTTTCAGCACACAGATTTCCCCTGTTTCCCTCCTACATCACACTCCGTTTTCAGTTTCTCTTCCAGAGGCTTCTTCTGCATACACTCGCACTGCACAAACTGCATAGTTAACACTGTTTATGTCCTCCCCATAGATATTGCACACTGATCTCATATGTACAATGTGTAGGCTCAGCATTCAGAGCGTAGCTCAGTTCAGCAGCAGGCGCTACCTTTTACCCCCTCTGTAGAATCAAGTTTTCTGTTGCTTCTTAGTAGTTCTATAGTGTAAATATTGTCCAGCAATGTGTGTGTTAGGACACACATTGGTCTCCTGCCTCCAGCACACATACATCAGTCCTTAGCTATACCAGTAGTAAGATGCCCCTCCAGTACACAGAGTTCTTTAGCCAGTTTAACACTAGCAGAGTATGTGATCTGCTTCAAAAGCATGAGCATCAATTCCCTCAGTGACAAATATTCACTGTGTACATTAACCCCTCTGTATCCCGTGCCTTTTCTGCTCAGTGCCCAGGAATGTATGGTAACACCTCAGCACTCGGTACCCAATGTATGTGCCTTACCTCTCAGTATTTATTCCAGATTGTGCATCCATCCCTAAGATGCCAGTACCCAGCACATGTGCACTCCCCTCTCAGCTGCCAGTCTCCAGCAAGTGTGTTAATGTTTATTAGCCAGTCATTAGCACATATGTAATTACCCTTCTGTGCCCAATGCATGTGCTTAACCGCTCAGCACCCAGTCTCCAGAGCATTTGGGATAACCCCTCACATGTATTCAGTGCTAAATATCAGTCTCCTCTCTTCTGATCCTGGTCCTTTGGCAATTTCAGCTCCGCTGTCCCGTTTCTGCATAAATGTTTTCTGGCAACAAAGCCTTGCCCCATTTCCAAACCTGCTTACATTTTAGTGTCTCCTTTTCTGCCTGCATTGTCCCCAAATCAACAGACACATTCCTTCTATTTCTGGGTCCTCCTCACCAACTTCACAGCCTTCAGACAACCTCACTGGAGTTGGTGGGGAGTGTCAGCAGTTGCATAGACTGCAGTTCTGCTCACACAATCCCTACCCTCTCCAATGTCCTAGAATAACCTGCTTAAACTTCAGCCAGCCATTTCCTAGACACTGCTCCTGACCTCTCTTCCTCCTGTGTGAAGAGCTTGGCTCATTGCTTCTACTTTAGAATTAGTCAGTTTTTTAAATGGATGCTTAAATGTGTAAGAGGAACACCTTCCCAGCACCGTCATTTACGTGCATCACTAGGACCATATATTTTAAGGACCTATGGTTCTAATTATAGAGACATCAGTGTGTGAGTCAAAAGATGAACTGTTCTGCTGGTTGTTATTCCCATTAAACTCCTGCACTTAGTGCCCACTGCCATACCCTCCCTACTTCTCTTCTGCACATACTTTCCACTGCCATACCCTCCAACCCCTCTTCTGCACATACTTTCCACTGCCATACCCTCTGAACTTCTTTCCTGTGCATAGTGCCCACTGCCATACCATCCCTACTTCTCTTCTGCACATACTTTCCACTGCCATACCCTCCAACCCCTCTTCTGCACATACTTTCCACTGCCATACCCTCTGAACTTCTTTCCTGTGCATAGTGCCCACTGTCATACCGTCCCTACTTCTCTTCTGCACATACCTTCCACTGCCATACCCTCCGCCCTTCTCTTCTGCACATACTTTCCACTGTCATACCCTCTGAACTTCTCTCCTGTGCATAGTACCCGCTGCCATACCCTCCGTACTTCTCTTCTGCACATACCTTCCGCTGCCATACCCTCCAACCCCTCTTCTGCACATACTTTCCACTGTCATACCCTGTGAACTTCTTTCCTGTGCATAGTGCCCACTGTCATACCGTCCCTACTTCTCTTCTGCACATACCTTCCACTGCCATACGCTCCGCCCTTCTCTTCTGCACATACTTTCCACTGTCATACCCTCTGAACTTCCCTCCTGTGCATAGTACCCACTGCCATACCCTCTGCCCTTCTCTTCTGCACATACTTTCCGCTGCCATACCCTCCAACCCCTCTTCTGCACATACTTTCCACTGTCATACCCTCTGAACTTCTTTCCTGTGCATAGTGCCCACTGTCATACCGTCCCTACTTCTCTTCTGCACATACCTTCCACTGCCATACGCTCCGCCCTTCTCTTCTGCACATACTTTCCAATGTCATACCCTCTGAACTTCTCTCCTGTGCATTGTGCCCTCTGCCATACCCTCCGTACTTCTCTTCTGCACATAGCTTCCGCTGCTATACCCTCCGTACTTCTCTTCTGCACATAGCTTCCGCTGCTATACCCTCCGTACGTCTCGTCTGCACATACTTTTCACTGATATACCCTCCGCCCTTCTCTTCTGCACATACTTTCCACTGATGTACCCTCTGAACTTTTCTCCGCTGCATTGCGCTCTCTGCCACACCCTTCGTACTTTATTCCTCCTCCATTACTTTAACTTATATATTGGTCAATAGCAACATCCTTGTAAAGAACATAAAGTAAATGGGCAATGTTGTTTTTGTTTTTTTTTGTATCATTGGCCTGTGCATTGTAAATACTGCAGCCTAGTTCTAGATCCATGCATTGGGCCATCTTCTAAGGAGACATAGGAAGGTCCTTGCTTGAATATATCTGTGAGAGCCAGCATAATGTGGGGTAATGCATTTCCTTTGGAAGGATATAACAACACCTGTGCCTTTATACACATGCTGTCATTACATAATTGTTTAATGGCCTGTTTTCCCACGTTTTTTCTACTCTAGAGACCGTGTTGGCTGTGTGTGGCAAGTTGTGCGTGATCACCTTTACCATCTTTGCGCCCATGCTGTGGAGTTTTGTTTTCTTGTTGAGCGTGCTGTGGTTGGTCTTCTACGACTGGCTATTCGACTTTTACGGCGTGAGGACATTAGTGCTCAGGTATCTTACTATGTTGCTGCTTTTATTGCTTGTTTTACTGGCATAAATATACATGTTCTAAAAAAAAGTTGATTAGTTCGTGTAGGGCACAAAATCCGCATAGTGAAAATATAATGAGCTGCGGTATTCTCAGCAGTACAGAATGCAAAATAATAGGTATGAAAAATGTAAATTACTATTGGTATAATAGGGGAAAGTATGTGGTGACAGGGCTGTTGATCCTCATAACTGCATAATACAGCTAAGTACATAATGCTTCATGTATGAGAAATGTGTGAAGTAATATTGTTGTAATAATTTTCCTGCTGGTGGCAGCTGGTATTCTTCCTATATTCATTTTATTTACAATATGCACAATGAAACAAGTTGTTTTTGTCAGCATAGGTGCATTATACATGATACCTCTGGGAGATCGAAGGCCCTGTACACAATTGAGTCAAAATGGAGTGCTTCATGAAACTGCTACCACATATGTCTGCTGTGAAATAGTCACTTTGCTCTGCATTGCAATGAATTTGGCATTTGGAGTCTGTTTGTTGCATTCCCTTTGACTATTCTTCCTGATGATCCTCCATGGCATGGTATTAGGTGTAACATGTTCATACAGGCCTGAGGATACATGCGCTATATGAGCTTCTGCCTCTAGCTTGTCTGTGTACAATTCCTAAAGATGAAATCCGCTAAAGTTTATTATGAAGTCCTAAATGTCTGTAAAAATTTAGCACTCGTTCTGCTTATTTCTCCAGGTTCTCCTTTCCCTCCGCATTCTGCTAATGATGAAGCCAAGTGTCCTCTCCAGAGTAAGCCGGCAGATTGCTTTTGGCCTTCACGAACTGTTAAAGACCAATGCTGCCAACATTCACTCTAGCAATGATTGGTACACACTGTTCTGCCTGCTTGAGTGCATTGGTGCCGGGGTGAAGCCTCCACCTGCCTTGCAGGGGACAACCAGGAGCGATAATGACACAGGTACATGGAGGATGTGCACAAATGAAATTTAATGCCTTTCAGAGATAAGCAGCTGTTTTATGCTGTGCCCGATTTACAGTGAAGGACAAATGAGAAAAACAAATATCTTGTTTAAGTCCATTAGTGAAATTAAAATGGATCATCTTGTCTGCATATTTACCACCTGAAATGTGCTCACTGGGTATTTTATATCATAGATGGTGATGCGAATAAGAGCTTATAGGAATAAATAAATAAAATATTTTTTTCTATATCATCTTTTCCAGTAAACATCTATATATAGGAGCACTGCACTATTTTGCTTTCTTTTTGAGGTCAATTAACCTTTATAGGCCACAAGATAAAGAGCAACGTTAAGCTCTAATTCCAACTGTGTAGCATCAAAATCATCTGGGTTTTGGAGCTTTCCGCTACTAACCTGCTAGTAGAATGCCAGCTTTTTTAATTGTGTAAGCTGCAAACAAATGCTTTTCTAACATTTCCTTAGTTGTAGAAAACGTTGTAGTTCGATCATGTTCTAAAATATTACAAATATAACCACGGTCATCTTTGTGCCACTCACATATGAGGTTACAAAAGTGTCGCTAAATATGTTAGGATAAAATCACGTAAGATATTCCTAATAATAATAAATGACCCACCTGCCGTGACTTTGTAGTGGTATTGGTCATAGAGCCAAATGTTGAAGGCTACTTGTCAGGATAGAATGCTAAGCATTGTAGCTGCTGGCTTGTCTTTAAAGGTGCAGGCCTGGGGATGGTCATCCTTGTCCTTCACTACTTACAGTAAGTGTGCAGGTTGAGATTCAAGTTCACCTGTTGCATTCTTGTTTCAGCTTATGTAAGTCATAGAGCAAAGATGAAGATGACAGCTTTAGTTTGTAGCTCCCATATTTCTAACTTGTTAATATGGGTTATTGGTGCCATCTATTGGTGATGGTGTGCACTTACAGTATCAGCATGAAATACATGACATTTGTGGTCACATAGATTTATTGTCATGCTAACCCTGTCTTCTATTATCTTTACATTTGTGTAATATGAACATAAAATGTAATTAAATGTATATCCCTGGTCCTTAGCTATTTATACCACTAGAAGTACCACAGGGTGTATTTCTAGTGGGTTAAGGGGGATTTCTGCTTCTCAAAGTAACCATTTTTAGAGAATGATAAATGCGTTTATATAAAATAATTTGAGTAATTATTTTGTATATTAGAACATAAATGTACCGACATCCGGGGGTTTAGTTGACCCACAACATTTAAAAAAAGGGTACATCTGAATTCAATAAACGCTGCTATAAATGATTTTCATACTTTGGGATAATAGAGATGTGTTTTGTTGTGTAAAAGTTGTTTGACCTGGACAGATGTCAGACTTCTCTAGACAAGATGTATTTACAGGGAGATGGGGGAACTGAATTTGAGATTTCATGTGACTGCGTATACACAATAAGCAGAACAGGCCGAGTTCACATTCCTGCATTTCTGCCCAACTGATTGTTTCCAGTGGCTATTTATTTCCAGTAACAGTTCGAGATCATGGCCTAGTATTTGACAAAGTTTTGGATGTGATATTTTAATGTTTCATCACTTTTATCTCTGTTGTCAGGTGCACTGTCAGACAGTGAAGTGTCTTCATACCATTCAACTGATGTGAGCCTGGATCGTGGGTACACCTCAGACTCTGAGGTATACACGGAACATAGCAAGCAATCAAAGATGCACCGTTCCGTCACTGATGTGGATATGGTGAATAGTGGTTGGCTGGTGGTAAGGGATCTTTATCTCTTAAAAGCATCAACAAACAAGTATTAGGTTGCTGCTTTGTACCTCTGTGTGTTGTCCATTATTTGTTGTTTTTCTTCTTACATAGTGTACAGAACATTAAATTGCTCATAGTGTATGGAAATCTACTCTAAGACTTATGTCACTAGGCTAGATGTTCCCTCAACCTCTGTTTTTGGTGGCACCAAAAACATTTTGGAATAACCACCATTCTCTGTCCTGGTGACAGTAGTCATCAAGACAAATAAAGACTTTGAATCTCCCATGAGCACATAGGCACCATCAAACCTCCTACACATTTAAGTTAGTAGTGACCCCATTTCCTCAGATGGGTTTTCTTTTAAAAAAAATGTTCACAACATGCTTAAACATTTCTATGTGAAATGCCATATAGTCAATTGTCTATAGGAGTAGATGGAAGATACATCAGCTGTGAAATCAGGAAGCTCAGCTATCATATGGGCTGGTGCTGACATGGCTGGACTGAAAATGGGGACGAATCATTAAAAAATGATTATATTATTAAATAAACATTTCTGGGCAAAGCTGTATTTTCAGCAGCTTTATGTTTGGATAGAGTTAAAAATGTCAAGATATACTTTTCGTTTGAATTAGATACTTTAAAATTACTTGGGATGTAAAATTGGAAAGCAAGTCATTTTGCAGTTCCACAAAGCACTGAAGCTTTATTTGTATTTTTAGTATATAAATGGCCCGTCTTCTCTACACAGGTTGGAAAGGAGGATGTGGACTCTTCTAAAGTGTGTGCAGCAAAGAGCAAGCCTGGTGCCAGCACTCCAGTAAATCAGTACAGTTTAGTCATTGGTTTGGACTTTGGCCCACATGATACAAAATCTCTCATGAAGAGTGTGGAGTCTCTGTCTTTCATTGTCCGCGATGCTGCACATGTTACCCCAGAAAACTTTGAGCTGTGTGTGAAGACGATTCGTGTCTTCGTAGAGGCGAGTCTAAACGGAGGTGTGTGTAAGTGTTTCTAGGACTTCTTTTTTTTTTTTGACTAACAAAATTTGACACATTGTTTACTTCATTTTTGCAACCTGAGAAACATTATTCGATAGCTTTGTAATGCATAACTGGTCTAAACAAAAAAACATTTTATAACAAAAACAATCTATACTAAAGGTATTTTAAAGTGATGATTATTTTTTGCATGAATACAAAGTGTGATTATGGCTGAGAGGAAAAGGGGTTAGGCCTCATTCACACAGCGTACAGTCAGGCCGTACAGATCCGTGCAGCGTGCGCGGCCTTATCAGGCTGTTCCTAGGAGGGACAGGTGCTGCGTGTGATTGTATCCCTTTGGGATGACATGGCCGTACGCTGTCATACGCTCCCCGAGCTGCACAACCGTGCGGGTGTCCGAGTACAGACACCCGCACGCATGTGCAGCTCAGGTGAGTGTACGGCCGTGTACTCCCATAAGGAATGACAGGCTGCTGCGTACAATCACAAGCAGCACCTGTCCCTCCCGGGAACAGCCAGAAACGGCCGTGCAGATCTGTACGGCCCTACTGTACGCTGTGTGAATGAAACCTACAGGTTGACGTTTAAGTCCCCTTTTACACTGCCGGCGTTTTGTAGCTCGTATTTGTCAGCACGGAAAAGCTCCGCACAAGCCTCCGTATACACCTCTGTTTGGGGAGATCAGCGCGATGTGACCCTTTTTCCTATTCATAATCGTGCTGATCTGCACAAAAAAGAAGCTCATGTACTTTTGCTCCGGCAACCGGTTTTTTTCCCAGTGAGATGCTTTGCTGAGACGTGAACAGGGACTATAGAAATCAATAGGATTTCTTATTCTGAGCTTTTCCGTACTGACAAATACAAGCCACAAACGCCTGTGGTGTGAACGGGGACTTAAACGTCAACCTGTAGGTTTCATTCACACAGCGTACAGTAGGGCCGTACAGATCTGCACGGCCGTTTCTGGCTGTTCCCGGGAGGGACAGGTGCTGCTTGTGATTGTACGCAGCAGCCTGTCATTCCTTATGGGAGGACACGGCCGTACACTCACCTGAGCTGCACATGCCATCCAATTTCGTTTTCATGGATCATGGAATGTTAACGTGCCTGTGAGTTTCATACCTCTCAGAGACTCTTCTGGTGAGATCTCTGAGCTGGGTCCCACTCTCCATGTTGGCTTTCCTTATTTATTTCATATTTATAGTAGGAAATTGTAACGGAGCAAGAGCACAAAAAGGTGGGCAGCAGTAACCAAAACAGAGTTCTAGAATATTGCAGGGAGATCTCACTGTTGGAGAATCCAAGACGCAAAAAGCCAGGTACTTACTGAGCCCACCAGGTTGCACCTATAACTAAAATATCAATTCTGGGTAGGTCAGCAATTAAAGTTCAAGTAAGGGTTCAGTGAAGAAGTGTTGTTTGAAACATAACGCATGCTTCTACTTTCAGAAAAGGCATTTGATCAACGTTCAAATGAAGATTTGTCATTCTAATGTTTAAAAAAAGGGGGGGGTCATTTTTGTCTTGTTACCCTTGCAGTTAGAAATGTTACATATTGGGTGTTGCTTTTCTGTGAAGTTAGTGTGTTTGTTTATATAGAGATCTTCTCCTATTCGGTTTCCATTGTGTTGATTTAAACTCTGGCATAGGAGATTCACATAAGGTTGTCTATTTAACTGTATGCCTCTGCTCTTAATTCTCATATTGGCTTAGTGCTCAAACATGTCTGTTGCAAGCGAAAGGTAGGGTGTTGCACGTGTGCTCTCTCCGCGTTCTCTTTCCCACCATAAAGCCTCAAGGAAGCAGCTTCTACCGCTCTTGCTTGAAAAGAGCCACATGGAAGTTTGACCTGCAGCCTGAATTCAAGTTATTAGCTAATCTTAGAGTCTGTTCCATCCCTTGGAGTCCTCATTGGCTCCATCTAATGTGGATGGGTTCTCTCTTAGTCATACAAGATTTTTTTTTTGCCCAAATTAACCAGTTATTTTCTGATTCTGATCACATAGGCTACAAGCAGGCATCCATGCCCTCTCCTGCAGACTCTATATCTGGTTTGCCCATAGCCAAGTGCAACTGGGACATCATTTTGACTACAAAAATCTGTGTCATTTGTTCAACTGTCATCTTTTTCTGTAGGGCACTGTTTAAATGAAGATCTTATGTTTGCATGTTGAAAAAAGTCAACAGCTCCCATGGGGTGTACTTACATTTTCACATTTCTAGCATGGACTGTGTTCATCAGACTGCAGGTTTACATTGCAATGAACACTGATCATTGTAAAGTCCAAATTAAACCATGGATAATGCTATATTAAATACACTACTGTTTGGATGCAGGGTTGTTAATATTGTAAAGGTTTGCCATAGAGACAATTATTGGTTCAGACTTGTTTCATTATTCAGATACCTCACATAATTTAGTGACAAATGTCTCTGTCCAAATTGTGTGTGTGTTTAAAGGGTACAAATCGCAAGAAAAGAGAGCGAAAAGCCATAAGTATGACAATAAAGCTAGCCGTTTCAAGAAGAAAAATAAAGAGAAGGAAAATATAATGCGCCGATCAAGAGTCTCCAACCAGCGCCAGTATCGTTCTCACAGTGATGATGAGGAAGATGAGACTGTGCCAGCCAGTTACCACACTGTGTCATTACAGGTTAGTCACGACGTAAGTATGGCGGGCCTTTCCTCCTCCTTCATATTTTCCCTTGTGTGCTGGATTAAACAAGACAATGGGGACTACTTGATTTCTTCAGCAAATTGTCGTCACCTATACTTTATCTCTCCTGAGATGTGACTTTTCTTCTGATTATCAGATCTGTCCTCTTTGAAGCATATGGGCTGCTTTTCTAATTTTAGAAATAGTTTTGTCATTATACCTGGCTAAAGAATAAACCCTTTTAGTTATAATCTAGCTGATGGCATGGAAAAACCGCCTCTTCTGTTCTTAGAAGGCAATTCTGTGCTCCAAAGTATTTTAGAGGAAGGCTTTTTTTACTTCACTAACCATAACCTGAATGGTCAAAGTTCTAGCTCTGCCATAGGTGGCTTGCTGCAATGCCCTGTACAGGATTAGTTTGTCTAGGGTTGCCCTCACCTAAGGGAAAACTTTGAGGACATGGACAATCCTTCCTATCTCTCTGTGTTAACCAAGCACTTATCAATGTACTGTAGTCTGCTGGACTAGATGTGCCAAAAACAATGGCAGCTCCTAAAGCAGAGGATTGACAAGTATTACCAGCCCATTGCTCTCAGGGAGGCTTCTGCCACCTGAGACCATTGGGACGAGGGAATGATAGCATAACAGCATAAAATTTCCAGGCAGATGTTTGCTTATGTCAGTGATGATTTTGGTTAAAATAAGAAAAGATTTTACATTCCCCCTCAGCCAAAGGATTAGGGTAAAGAAATTTAATTATGTAAGCTATAGTCACACTCCCTGTACCTCTATGATCCATCTCCAGTAACCGGAAGGCTGCTTTCTGCATCTACTGCATGTGGTGGCGTTCATTCTAATGATTTTTTATGGGCAATATTAAGATAGCATAGAAGCCAGCTGGATTGGGATCAGGTGAATATGCAATATAGACACCAATGACAAGCCTCCATTTATGTGGGGGTGGAAGTCTTTATAATCCAGTCAGTGTACAGAACTTGTATGCATCTTTATTTCTGGGATGTTAATCACAATTACTCTGAGGTTTTGGTGAAGGCTACTTGATTCCTTGGGACTCTGCTAACTGGCATTTGCTGCAAAATCTATCATTCCGAATAATAAATGTCTTTTCTCTCTGGAAATATTTTTCTGCTATCTATGTGGCTATTTCTTCCTTCACTTTGAGGAGGACATGGCCTGTACTATTGTGGGATATATGAAAGGAATTTGTGCTCATTCTCCATTACATCCTAATTGTGAAAATGACTATTTTGATATTAAGTAAAGTAGACCTTGTGCATCCATAGTTAATTAGGACTTTGCAGGAGGCATATTTCTGTTTCCAGCAGGAACATATCCATGTGTGAGGTTTGTTCACCCAGAGATGGGAAAACATTTTTAGAAGAAGGAAGGACTGTTAGGCATTTACATCATCCCTTGCTCCTACGTCCTTCCTGTCCTGTGCTCAGTTGTTAAAGGAGAACTATGACATGAGTGATTTCCACTCACCTCATAGTTCTAAGCCGACCTGTGACAATGAGACTGTCACAGGTCGGCTCAGTAGATCGGGAGGTGAGGGAAAACATACCGGGTTCCCTCACCTCTCGATCCTGTCACGGCTTTCTGCCGTGACAGGGGGAGGGGCTGTATTCCCCTCTCCCCGCTCCGATCTGCCAGCGCTGACTGGCGGAACGGACGGGGGAGGGGGCGGGTACAGCTGGCTCTGCCTCTAGGTAGGCAGAGCCAGCTGTCACGCAGCTCGGCGGATCCCGTCATCTAAGTCGGGATCCGCTCCAGGTGCGGCGTCTCAGTATACCGCGAGCTGTAGCTCGCGGTATACTGAGCCTAGGGTGACGGGAGGACGCTAGTTTGTGTCCTCCCGTTACCCTAAGGAGAACTATGGGGAAAAACACTGACCCCATAGTTCTCCTTTAATGTGGTCATACATATTCCTCACTAATTTAGCAGAAGAGCAGCAGAAATGAGTATTCCTATCTTTAAAGGAGACATATGATAGAAAAACAGGGGCTACCATCCCTCACTTAATTTATTGACTGCTACAATGACGCAATAAATTCCATACTTTTGCGTCATTGACCCAGAGCAAGTTTGCAGATTAGCAGTCAGAGAAAAATCAGCTGTGCTTATCAGGAGATTTGTTCAGGGCCAGTGATACAACTTGTTGCAGCCAGGAAATCAGCAGTACGGACAGGCATCCAACATGTTCAGAAGATGTCAGCAATGGCAGCTTCCATGTTTGTGTTCTAACAGGTTGATTTGAATAGTTTAGTGCATAAAGCAGCTGTGGATGATAATCCTCATACTAGCCGGCAATCTTTGACCAGGGGTGAGGCCAAACCATCGGTCGCACTCATAATAATTTGTACCTTCAGTTCTGTGACTCACGCAATTAACACCTGACTTTAGACAGCGCCCAGACCTCATGACAGCAAGGCAGGGGTGCTTTTATAAACATTCACATCTCCCATCATGTTCTTGAGCAGTCAAAAACTGTTGCAACACATTACATGACATGGTTGGATGAATGTGACTGAGTTAGCTGTGCGACTATAAATGCTGAGGTATTCCTGACACTCATTTAGATCGGAGGAATCCAATCCATGGATGAGTGACAAAACACCCTCAACATTTCCAGCAGTTTAACAAAGTAAGACTAATGAGTGTATTCTGCATATTGTTCTCTAGCTTATGTAATCACACCATCAGTGGCAAATAGGGATGCACCGATATATCGGCCGTCGAAACATATCGGCCGAAAATGGCATTTTTGGCATTATGCCAAAAGTGCAATTTTCTGGCCGATATAGCGGTGCATCCTATGCTGTCCTCCCCGCTGGGCGCTGCTCTGTGTCCCAGCCGGGAGGAGAGAAACTGAGACAGCCGGCTGAGCGCTGCGGGGGAGAGTGCTGTGAGCGGCAAGCGTCTCTCCTCCCACACCGCTCAGCCTCCTGTCGCAGAGCGGTGTGTGGGCGGAGACAGCCAGCGCTGTCACAGCAGGCTGACTAAGCGGAGCTCAGCCTGCTGTGACAGCGTGTCAGGAAGGAGACGAGTGCAAACACCGTGATCGCTGAGTGAGTGTACATAATTGAGGACATGGTATGTTAACTATATCCCAAATAATGAATGGGAGTGATCTACATCACCTCCTGTTCATTCATGATTGTGGATACAGTAAACACACTATGTTCTTAATGAACAGGAACACTCGGTACCTTCTAAAATGACTAAACTGCCATATTTAAAAGGAAATGCTGTGATGTGTGGATTCATAGGACAACTCTATTAAACAATATAAGATACACAGTCATATTCTTAATGTTTCAGATCTTGTAGATTGGATTTATATATTTCTGTTTCATTTCAGCTTCTTGACTTGATGCACACACTTCATACAAGAGCAGCAACCATTTACAGCTCCTGGGCAGAGGAACAGCACCATGTTGAGACTGCAGGGGAAAAGATCACAGCCGATTCTAGAACTTTGTGGTTAAACTGCTGGTGTCCATTACTGCAGGGTAAGAAATGTTTAATAGTACACAATGCTAGAGAAAAAACCCTTTTTCATAAATGTTCACACTTTGTAGCGGTATTCTAGACTCTAGAGGGAAATAATGCTCCATTTTTACTGAAGAAAATCATTGTGCAGGCCTCTGATAGGCCAGGAATACCCGTAGTCATGTTTTGTTTCCTTTCACTTTGTGGCATATGCTTCTATGTTCTATTTTCTCTTAGGGGTGTTGTGCATTCTAGTTGCTTTCCTTGCTCTCACACGGGTTTGTGTTGTCCATAAGGCATAATAACTATAGTAGGATGGTGAAAGAGGGTGGCACTAAAGCCCAGCATTATACAGTTTACTTTTCCCCTTTCTCATGTTGCCTGACCCTTCTGACTCTTGCCAGTTATGAGTAATCCGGCATCTGAATAAAAGGGTGAGATCCTTTGTTGGGGGCTGCTAAGGGGAGTTGTAAAAAACTTAAAAGGCCCAGTAAAACATTTTGTGTTGCAGTTACAGGCGGTTTTCCGCACTATGATACACATAATGAAATGCGTTATTCATGTCATGTGTTTCAAATGCACTCCAACACACCTAGACATCACACAACACTGCATGTGCATTTTAGTGCACCACAACGCACAAATGTGAAGCAGCTGTGCATTGTGGTGCACTGTGTTAAATACAATGCTGGAGGACCTTAGCAGCAAGTTCAAAATTAATGTGCTGCCTTACTGCAACGCGCCATACCATGTATGCAGCAATGCACTTCAGTGTATCCGATCAGTGTGAATAGGTCCATTAGCTCAATTCACTCCCATTCATCTCTTTTTTTTTTTCTGTAAGTTCTTTGAGGACTATAAATTCCGGCTATACTTATATGTATTTTTTATATGTTTTATTTTTTTCTTATATGTAGTTTTTAGGGATGCTAGTGTCGGTGCTGATACAGAGTATTTGGGCGGGTACTTGTACCCGCCCAAATGCCCCGATACTTACCCCCGATACCGGAACTTCCGGTGAGAAGGAGATCTCCCTCTGACCAGCAGTGCCGCAAGGTAGCATAGAGCATGTCGTGGCCCACCTCCTGGCTACCAGATTGGCTAGGGTAGCCAGACTGCCTCACATCATAAAGCTGGCTTCCTAGCCAATCAGGATGCCGGGGGGCGGGTCATGACGTGCTGCCTGGGTTTCTGATTAGTCAGGAAGCCAGGCTGCCTAGCAATGAGTGAAGGCGGCTTCCTAGCCAATCAGGAAGCTGGGAGGCGGATGCTTCCCGATAATCCGGGCCTGAAAAACTAATAACAAAAAAACGGTATCTGTGCATCCCTAGTGTTTATAAAGCTGCATTCATGACATTTTTGCTATGAAATTTAAATTGTTTGTACGTTAAATGTATGGAACAGATCCCCATCACTGTCATGCAGGCACCGAGCTTGTTCATTAGGTACTCTAGGAAACCTTTCTCTCTGGAGGTAGAACATTTTTAGCAATCTGAAGGCTTTTAATGACATACAGTCCTGCTGTGTTCTTTTTAACGTGTGGCAAACCGTATATGTTAGTTTAAAAAAAAATAGGACCGGTATTGCATACCCTCAAAAATACCCGGTTATGTTACATTTCAAGGCTATAGCTACACTGTAGTAAAAAATGACTGGTAAGGATACTCACATTTTTACTAAAAGCTTACCCGCTACCATGGTCATGATTGCCACATGTCTTCTGCAGGAATTGCATGGCTTTGTTGTGATGCTCGACGTCAGGTTAGGATGCAAGCTCTTACTTACCTACAGAGAGCCCTTTTAGTCCATGATCTCCAGGCACTGGACGCACTTGAATGGGAAGCCTGCTTTAATAAGGTGAGAACCATAATGCTTATTCATTTGTCCATTTCTTGCCCTGATCTCTTCCAGTTAGTCTTTCATTTTTGATAATTTTGCTGTTACCTGAAAATGTAATTGGAAAGTGTAGATGGTTAGAATAATGTGTTTTACTGGCCTTATTTGTAAGTTTTACTTCTTGTTTTGTTGGTTTATAATACATTAATTTTTTACAACTTCAGTAGTTTTCCAGTCAATTATTTTCTTCCATTATACTCTTCTCTTCTGGAATACCATTAAAAACTGGACGTTGATCGGTCGCTGTGCAAAACACCAGCACTTTTAATATGCAAGATTTTTTTTAAATCAAGTGTTATACATGTTACGTTTGTTTTTCTTATGTGTTACATCTTTTTTTTTTTTCTTAAAAGAGAACTATGGGTAACCTCTTTATCCTATAGTTCTCTTTAGGGTCACGGGAGGACATATACTAGTGTCCTCCCGGGACCCAAAGCTCAGTATATTGCGAGTTATTGCCTGCTATATAAGGAGAGTTCCGCAGCCAGGATAGATCCTTACAATACTGTCGAGTTCCACCCAGCTGGCTGATTGATAGCGGGCTCTGCCTATCTAGAGGCAGAACAAGCTGTGTCCACCCCCTCCCCTGTCTGTTCCTCCATTCAGTGCTGGGGGATCGGGGAGGGAGGGAATCCCTGCAGGGAGAGGATCGGGAAGTGAGCGAGCAACTGTATGTGTTCGCTCACTTCCCGATCAATAGAAACTGTCACCAGTCAGCTCAAACTATGAGGATGAGTGAAAAACACCTCATAGTTCTCCCTTAAACTGTATGTATAAAACCTTTTTTTTACAGGGTTAGTCACAAAAGGGTGATGTGTTTGAAAAATGGCAGGAGAAGTGAACAATCTAGGACAACCTAGCCGATTTAGAAAGATTTTCCAGTTCAGTCCATTGTTTACTTCTCCTGCTTTCTCCAAACTCTTCACCGTTTTGTGAATAACTCTGTTAGTTTTGGATAAGTAGGGAAGGATTAAAACCAGTGTTTAGTTTTATTTCTGCAACTTTCCTCTTGGGGATAATCACTTCCCTTCTTTGTCTACGTAACCATTGTCAATGAGACAGAAAGTGATGGTAAATCAAAAATGTTACAGGTGTCACCTGAACAAGTGGTGAAGATCTTTCAAAAAGGAAGCCTGTTCCTGAGCCTTGTGTCTGAAATAACTCCCCTAACTTTGTAGAGATTTCCGCTCACTTCCTGTTGTGTCGTAAGCACTGCAAGTGAGGGGGAAGTCATCCCAAATGGGACACAAGGGGCAAGAAATAAACTGATGGGTTTTAACTTTTCCTTACTCTACCCAAGACTGAAAAAAAATGTTTTTGCTTTACATACTTTATACTTTTTATAATTTATTTATTGCTCTTTGTACTCTTTAATCGTGTTTAAAAAAAAAAAAATTGCATGATGTTCTTTTTATCAGGTGCTATTTCCGTTGTTAACAAAGCTCTTGGAGGACATAAGCCCAGCCGATGTAGGAGGTATGGAGGAGACAAGAATGAGAGCATCTACCTTGCTTTCAAAGGTAAATCTGAATTTAAAGGAACATGAGTCTTGTGATATTAATTTTTGAAGATTTAGGCTAGCTTCACACTTGTCTGCTTTGGTGTGTTACGTTAACACACATGCATTCATTTAAGGCAGACCATCCATTTGAACTGACTAGCAACACACCGGAATGGAGGAAGGAACATAGCTGCACCTTTTTTTCTTGACACAACACACTACAATGTGTTGTGGTGCCATTTTAAAATGAATGGCAACAAAACCTGTGTAGCGTACATGGTTACATGTGGTATCGCAGCCTTATGGTTTGACAGGGCTCTCATTCCATTCGTTTTGTTAGGCATATTTTGGGGAAGGATGCAGTAATACAACTTTTAAGTGGAAGTAAACAATCAGAGCACATGAAAAATGTTGGCCCCTTGGAAGCATATTTGCACATTACAGCACACTTACCCAGCAAAGTAATCCCTTCCAACTCTGCAATGTCCACACTCTCCTCCATGGCCAGAACTTTCATCGTCATCTGGTCTTTAACCATCTTGATTAGAAGGCTGGGATTATGTAACCCCTGTGGATGTGCATTGGTGTTGGTTTGTCCCAGCACACGATCGTTCTGAGACTGTACACCAAGTTGTGCATGCGCGGCACAGTGTACATGGGATACAAATGTTGACAGGCAGGTAGAAGTATCTAAAAAATACAAAAAAGGTCACAAGCACTCCAACATGTAGAAACGTCAATGTTTATTGACTTCACAGGTGTCACATCATCAGAACTACCCTTCAGACGCCCAGATGACGTCCTCTTCCTACCATTCTATATGCAAATTGGGCAAAACGTGTGTAAACGGATCATATGTCAAAAAGATTTAAACTACGCTGATACCTGCAGCTGGACACCATGAGTATTATGATGGGCACACAACATACAACCATCGCAAGACTTTTGTCTTGCGATGGTTGTAAGGTAATTAAGAAAACGTACGATCTGCCCATCTTGGACAGGCAGATCGTACTTGCGATGATCGCAAGCCGCGCCCCCCTGAGGGGCGGGCTTCAGATGACCGCAATGCCGAACAGGCAGTCTGCGCTTGCGTCTGGCTTTTATCGTACGAACATGCTACACACCCGCCGAACATCGTACGATGCTCGGCGGGTTTTCGAACATGTTAAAGTAAGTTAAAAGTCGTGCGACCTTACAGTAGTAGAGTATAAAGAGTTATGGACACCGGCACTCCAAAGTAGAAAAATGTCTTTTATTGACGCATCATGCAACAATACACTTATTGCAACGTTTCGGGGTCACACAGGATCCCCTTCATCAGGCAGAACTACTTACAGTAGTAGAGGTCGCACGGCTTCCACGTTGGGTGGGACGGATATATGGGTATGTTCTGATCTTCCTGTAGTGAGTTCACGAGGCTTTCACAATACTTAATGTTTACTGTGTTCTTTAATTGGCGGGTAACATGTTCTTGTCTAAATATGATTTGTGCTTACTATGGATATGGATGCTTCCTTTCCTCTTTTTTTTTTTTCTTGTTGCTTTTGTTTCTGTCTATGCCCTATGTTTTTCTACTGTGCAAAAATTTAATAAAAACTATTTGATTTAAAAAAGAAGTATCTGTGACAGAAGAGTAAAAGTCTGTCTGTCTGTCAGCGCTTTTTAATACATTGACTTCACTTCTGCTTTCAGTGTAATATTAGTAACAATGGGTTGCATTTTCAGTGATGGTATTCAAGAAATTAGACTTGGCCTTCCAGTCTTTACTGGTCCTATTGAAGCAGGATGAAAAGTCTAATGCGTAAATTTATGTGACAAGGAAAAGTACATTCTTGCCAGGTAGCCAGGTAGTCTCTAAACACTTGAGTGAGTGCTGTAATATAAAATGGACATGTTCTAGACGCGTGTGTTGTCAGAATAGAGGTTGGGATGTTGCAATGTCTAAGAAGAGTGTCAGTGTTTCCTTGGATGGAGAAAGGTAAGTAATAACCAAGAAATTCAACGGTATTGGAGGAGAATGTGGTTGCCTTTGTGCTTACCCTATGACATTGTCCACAGCTGTTTACAGCTAGTTACAGGATGATGGCCCAGTGGCAGTTAATTGAAGTATATAGTGTCTGGTAATGTGTTCATGGGCTTATTTGCTCGGCTTAAATATTAATAAGTGTTTCTTTCTGTTTAGGTCTTCCTACAGCATTTGTCTCCTTTACTGTCTCTTTCCACCTTTGCTGCTCTGTGGTTGACAATACTAGAATTTATGGACAAGTACATGCACGCTGGCTCCAGTGACTTGTTGGTAAGTTATTGTCACCTGTTTTTACATATTCTGAAATGCTTTTGTCACGTATTGCATTTTCTTTGATAATTACTCGGGATGCACCGATACCATTTTTTCCAGACCTAGTACCGATACTTTTGCTCAAGTACTCGCTGATACCGATTACTGATACTTTTTTTGTGTGTCATGTGACAATACAGACTAATGATTTTAGGACAGTGGTGGAGTGCCAGGGCCCAGTCGCAGCTGCGACCGCTGCAACCCTGGTAGTTCTGACTCTGAGCTGTAGAGGGACTACATATCCCAGCAATACATTATACAGCAACACAGAATGGCATCGGCTATAAAGGACTACAAATCCCAGCAATACCTTATACAGCAATGCAGAATAATACCATCAGCTAATGAGGACTACAAATCCCAGCATTACATTATACAGCATTGCAAAATGGCAACCAGCTATAGAGGACTACAAATCCCAGCAATACATCAAACGGCAATGCCGAATGCCAACCAACTATAGAGGACTACAAATCCCAGCCATACATTATACAGCAATACAGAATAATATGAAGCTACATACTCTGTGCTGCTGGCCTGATATTTCCAGTGGAGTATTTCAGGAGGGCTGTGCAGGGTCTCACTGTGGCTGTGAGGGTCTCACCAAGGCTATGTGCGGTTCCCCAGGAAGGAGAAGGAGATATGCTGCCAGCGCTGTAAACAGGCACCATGTGGTTCACAGAAGCAAGCACGGGACCTCAGGCAGCCGCTTCAGTTTAAAAATTGAGTTGCCAGTATTGGCACCTAGTATTGGAGCATTTTCATGGGTATGAGTATGGTATCAGTATTGGTGCAGCCCTAATAATTGCCTTTAATGCCTAAATGGAAGAGTTGGCAAGTTATAAACATTCCTTTCTCAACAAATGATGAGATCCTTTGACTGGTGTAAGTTTTTTCATAGTGGATAAGAAGGAGTAATAAAGCACTGCTCTTCATGGAGTCAAGAAAGTACTAAAGTAGATCATTGCAGCTGGACAGATGGCAGTCTTCCTGGTTGCACTGATTCCAGCTCCAGGAGGTTCACCACAATAGTGCAAAGGCCTCATCCTGCAGTCAGAAGACGCTGCTAACAGAAGGAGAGCATAAATATATGTTTATACAATGTGGTAGAAGTCTGTTTTTTATCTTTCATGATTGACCTACTCAATTAAAAAGACAAAAAGCAATACAACAGAGAAGAATAAAGAAGAATGCGTGTAACCTGCACCATCAGTTACAATTAAATACCAATCTTATCAGCGTCACCTATGTCCCTGGAAATTACTGGAATTGCAGAGGTTGTTGTATGTACCGAGATTCATTTTGGCATCTTGAAAAATTTTCTGCGTCAGCCAATCTTGCAATCCTCAATATTTATTTATGGATTTCAGGTATTTTGAGATTAAAGTAGGAGTCTACTAAAAACTTTTTCCCCTCCACTATGGAACAAGTATGGAAGGATTAGTAGTATCAGATTTGTATTGCTGTTTGCATCTCAAATAGAGATATTTTATCATACTTTGTGTCTCAGGTGACAGGAGCTAGGACACCAAGTGAATGGAAATATCCCATTATGTCATGAAAACAATACCAGACTTCCCCATACTACTTAAAAAATGGCAATATTGCGATCTGTGTTTCTTTGCGCTCACTTCCTCTCCTATTTAGCACTATTCACCAGAACAGGAAGTGATGAGAAATCTCCCCAGCTGGCACGCAGACAACATTATAAGCCTGACTTTTTTTAAACACTAACTCCCCAGACCCATCCTTGATAGCGGAGGAAAATGTAAGCACTTTTTTCTTTTTAAATGTGTTTCTTTCAGATGGAGGCTATACCTGAATCCTTGAAAAACATGCTGCTAGTTATGGACACTGCTGGAATTTTCCACAGTGCTGACTCACGGACTGGATACTCAGACCTGTGGGAGATTACATGGGAGAGAATAGACTGTTTTCTACCTCGGCTGAGAGAAGAGCTATTCAAGCAGACTGTAATAAAGGGTAAGTAAGCAAAGCTAGTTTACAATGACCTCTATCTGAGACCTTCAGCAGTGAATGTAAGTTAAAGGAGAGTTGTGGGGAGAGGGGAATACACTCATCCCCATAATTAGAGCCGAGGTGTGACACTGAATCTGTCACCTGTCGGCTCTGTATATCATCCGATCCTCCAGCACTGACTGAAGGGACGGACGGGGGAGGAGGTGACCACAGCTGGCTCTGCCTCTAGAGACATTACATCTTACACAGAGTAGAACAAAACTTACTGTTGAATCCTGGTTACTGAGCTTTTACAGTACAGATTGGCATAGAATTGGCCACCCAATTCTAGTTCAATTCAGTGGCTGTTTCTTTGGGTTTTTTTTTTGCTCCAAAAAGGTTGTGGTTTTGGATCAGTGCCCAGCAGTCTATGTTTGTGGTCAGTGTAAATGCAGGTAGTGCTTAGCAAATTCTTCTTGGAAACAGTTTTGTAGAGCTTCAATATTTTGAATGAAATTGTTAATACTTTTCTTTTGACTGACCATAGACAACATCATTATGAGGTGATTTAACACATTTTCGCGATCTGTTGTGCTTTGAATAGTAGCAGATGTCTTTTTAGATTGTAATTTCCCTACGCGGTAAATAAGCACATGGACAGATAACATTTCACAAGAACGATTGTCTGTAGTTTTAACAATCATTTTGACAGAACTCATTTCATCGCTCGTTGAGAGATCATTTTTGTACCTTGAATACTAATATGTCCATGTGCATTGAACTTGTTGTTGTTATTATTATACAGGATTTATATAGCGCCAACAGTTTGCGCAACACTTTACAATATAGGGAATACATTACAATCACAATAAAATTCAAGACAAGACTGGTAAGGAGGGCCCTGCCCGTGAGGGCTTACAATGTAACGAGGGAGGGGCTAGTGATACATGAGGAGGTAGCTGTGTGGGATGAATTGTTTGAGAAAGTGATAGTTCAGTGGTTAGGTTGAGGTGGGATAGGCTTCCCTGAAGAGAGTACTAGTTAAATTGCCTGATCTTTCCACAATAGGGCTATCTTTGGTCAACTTTAGATAGGTCTGATCTTGTACATTTAAAGAAGCTGCGATAGTGTGACCATCCTTCTACGTGTGTAATACTGACGGTAGGCTTACATTTACAGATCCACCCCATGTAGCTGCAAGTGAAGCACATCCACAAAAGACTCGAGTAGGACCTGCTTTTGTTCCCACTCCTACAGAGCCCAGACCTGTGCCACTACCAGCTCAACCTGAGCACATAGCAAGTGGTAAGTATGAATCTTGTATATGGCTCTGATTCTGCTTAGCATATGTCACCAATCTATAGTAGTCCTGTATATATTGTCAAAGCTTTACTCTAGACACAGGCCATTGGGAGTTTGTACAATTTACACATGTAAATTGTATAAATTTAATTTTTGCCATAAATTAATTAAATAGAATAAAATGATATGCTTACATTCTTAAAAGAGCACGATCTTAGAGTTTGTGTGCAGAAATTTAGAGTGGAACTTCAGCCTAAACATTTTTTTCTAGTATGTTTGTGTTGTTTTGGTCTTCTTAAGACGTACCTTGTATGCCCAACGTGTAGAACCGGTTAATTACACGGGAAATGTAAATCATGTTGTGTGTGTGTATTTGTGTTCAAGGCTAGTTTTTTTCTTCCCCTTTGCAAGTCATTTATTTTTGCTTTCCACAGAAAATGAGTCTACAAGCCCTGGACTATCTGCCGTTCCAATACCTGGATCTAGCCCTTCCTGTCCACCCATGAGGATGAGCCCTGTGACCGAGATACATCCTCCTATAACTCAGTCTCCTTTCATCTTGCAACCCTTAACGTCTCCTTTGCAGGTCGGAGTTCCACCAATGTCTCTGCCAATCATCCTTAATCCTGCATTAATGGAGGCAACCTGTCCTGTGCCCCTCCTGTCTACTCCTCGACCTGCAGAAACATCACCAATGTCGGAAGTCAACTAATCGTTTGCCTTTCGAACTAGGCCTGATATACTTGTGAACTAGTTTTTGTTGCTGGCATGGGAACCAGTTGCCATTTTATTTAATGAACAAGTAATCTTAAGACAATAAACATTAGAAACTATTTGCAATGGATGTTTCTGGAAAACAAGCCTCCTCCTCTGTCTCAATCATCTGTCTAGCCATGCTGATCGCCTGTGCAGCAATTAAGCAATTGTAATGAACTCTGTACACTGTAAAGATATTTTATATCAGCAAAAAACAAAGGTGGATCTATCATCCGTCATTACATTGGGTTCTAGTTATTTTAAATGAGTGTGAGCGCCATTGTTTGTGCCTAGGACATTCCTTCTTGTAGGAAATCTACAGGATAATTACCCCTTTCCAAAATCTGTCACATACAATGGGGGCACACAGTTTTGTGGCACACACTGAAACAGATTTGCCTGCCTGTTGAATCTGGAAATATTTGGATGCTTGAGGATTGTTTCTCGATTATGTCATATTCTTAATAAATTCATAGGTTGTTTCCTCATAAATATTAGTGTAGCTTTCAAAATGGCTGCCTCCAGTGTGTGCCAACAGTAAGTAACACTCTGAATGCATACTTGTGTCTGTCTCATGATATGTTATTAGCATGCTGTCATACTTTATTTTTAATTAAAAACACCAAAGGAAGCACAGGTGCTATATTACTTCCATGCCAGGGTAACCAAGTTCCTTTCTCCACATGCAGGGACAACTTGCTACTACTCAGTAACAGTGCTGCAATAAGAACCTGTTCACTTGTCATCTACAAAATATGTTCAAAATGCAAATGATCTTTTCTTTTCCTGTGTAAGCATAGACTGTGTTGTCTGCAAAATTAGACATTAAACGTTTCTGTTCTCACATGTCAGACTGGCAGCTGCTGTTCTGTAGAGCATTCTGGGACTTGTAGTTGGACAACAGCCATCATCAAGAGCCTTGATGAATGTTAAATCCAAAGTGTGAAAATGCCATTTAAAGTGCAGTAGCACGATGGCTGGAATATTGCTACTTAAACAGAGGACGTTCATAGAATTGATAAATTATTTAAAGGTTTGCACGGACTGACATTTATGACCGAGGGTCTGATTTATAACACAAATGTGGTGTTGTTGCCCATAGCAAATAGTCAGATGGGGCTTTCTTCTGTTAACCTGCAGTAGAAATACGCCAGTTGGATTTTACTTGCTATGGAGAACGCCTTCTAGTGTTTCTACCCTAAATCGGCCCAGATGTGTTTTAAATGTTGTCATTTTTTTATCTGTATGTAAGAATTATCCACACTTGTACAGCTTCTTTGTTTTTGTTATTAAAATAGTATTAATTACATTGATGTTTAACCCATTCTTTTTAGCAGTCCTATGTATTTGGTTACAGAACGCTGTAGCTTCCCCTCTGAAAGTTTACATTTGTATCCAGGCACTGTGATATATCTGCTTAGTGTCCATGTAAGTTAATTCATTGAGATTTTAGCATACATTTCGATCTATTATCTGTTTTCTTTGAGGTAGAGAAAGTGCAAATTCTTTTCCAGTCAAAATTCTTGTTTTCTGTCTCATTGCCTTTTCTTGTACTTCAACTCTTTTTTTTTTTTCCTGTGTTGAAAAATGGAGAAAACTGCACATTGTTCCTTTTGTCTTTCCTGTATTTTAGGTTTAATGGCTGATCGTACCTACAATAAGCTGATGAGTATACACATACAGATAGATAATGTAAATAACGAATGCAAATTAAAATGTACTTTTTATGATGTAATAAAGTCAGTGTATGTTTAATGTACTTCCCATCAGTTCTCTGGAGGCATTAGAGGGATATTTATTGATACCCTTGCTTCTATTACATCAAAGGAATTTTTTTTTGATAACATTTTTTATTTTGATCAGCTTAGACCTGTGGTCGGCCTTGCTTCTGCTATGTCACTGAGACAATGAGTGAGTGATTACCAATGCATTATGAGGTGAGCATGCTGGAGAGCAGTTCAGATTTCATTAGCTAAATACATATCCCTCAGGTCAGCGTGTTCACACAGGCTTCAGGGCCAATTCACACCATAAACAGTGTTCCATAGCGGTCAGCCTCTTGAACACACTATTGCATTCCGTCTGGCTTCGCGTTCAGTGGCGGTGCATTGAAGTCAACAGCCCCCTGCCCGCCCCCACCAGAATACGTGACATATCAGTGCCTGCGTTCCGGACCAGTGTGATCTGCAAATATTTTTGCAGATGGCTGCAGTGCCATTGACTTCAATGCCTTGCCACACCGCCTCCTGCCCCTGAATGCAGAAAGCCAGCCGGAATGCAATACAGTGCGTTCCAGAGGCTGACCGCTCTGGAACACACTGTTTATGGTGTGAACTGGCACTTACCCACTGCAAAAGCAGTCTGTACAACAATCTTTTGCAAAGCTTTGAAGAAGTCTGTATAACAGTGTGTACAGCAAGCTTTTGCAAAACTTTGAGCAGCTTTGGATTAACCTTTAACCCTTTTACTGCCATGGCCCTGAGGGTTACGCTGAAACAGAACTGCTTGCAGCTGGCCAAGCTCCGTAACCCTTATATCTTTTGCATTTTCGAAGGCTGCAAGCTCCTGGTCCCTGACACTTTTTGCTCTCATGGGAATAGATGAGATCGGCATCTAACAAACCTTTAAGTAGGCAGTATTCGAGCAGCAGCATACCCATAGTGTGAAAATCTCTGATTTCTGAGAAAGGGAACGCTACTAAGATAACCGCATGAGGCTCTGTGGTAGAATGCATGAGGGAACAGTGCCGAGAGTGTGGAATAGATTGTTTATTGCAAGAACAGCGCGTTTCTTTGGTGGCGCATACATGGAAAATGAGCTGCTGAACATAACACATTCTTATCATTTCATATTACATTTGTGTGTCATTGTTACATCGACACACACTTACAGTATATGGTATTAGGAACACGAAAACTAATGAATTGTCTGATACCTTTGTAGCTCCCAGATCCCTGTACAAATAACAGTATACTTCAAAAGACATTGAAGTTGAAGTGCCCGAATTCTGTTACCACAAAGCCCCACCCCTTCTCATCAAGGTCCACCTCATAACGTAAGCATGTTGTGAATAACGCTGAACACTGGACTTACATTTTGTACACGTGGAGAAGAGACAAAAATTGTCGTCTTTCCCATGGCAAGCACATAGAGTAGACTGCAGAGACTCATAGGAGTGGATTCACGCTGTAGCCCTATAAAAAAAAAATACTGTGTTTTACTGCATTTGAGCACATTCAAATAACTTTAAAATTCAGGGGGGAAAAAAGGAACCAAGACATGCAAAAACAGTGCAGAGACACTGCTTGACCATAGGAAACCTAAGGTTATGCTGCAGCCCGCAGTATAAATGGTTACCAGGCACATGGAAAACGGAAGGCCTGCTCCTTTAAGGCTATTACCCCTCCCACCTCATACATACTCAGTTTTGCTTAGTCTCCTTGGAGTGGATGTTTCTTTCCATTCTGTATTTTTTGCTTGTATTGGAAAATGTTTCTACTGTCCATAAATTTGGTAGATTCAGACCAGTTATTGGAAATCCTGGAAGTCAACGGTCAGTCAGTTAGCCAACGGGAACAGGTTTTCCCAGTTAATTTCTGTCCCAGTCTCTGAAGACTCGCTGTTTAGAGGGTGGCTAGCAGGCTATGCTGTGTTGAGGATTTGTTCTCTGTTTTACACCTGAGGCTGTATAGTACTAGTTTCTGAAGGTCTGTAGCTGGCTGGCTGGGTGAGGGGATTAAGATATCTCTTTATTTTCTACTGTGTTAGCAATTGTCGGTTACAACTTGGCCATTTTTTGGGGGCTATGGGGAACACTTTTTTTTCTTCAATTGAGCTTACGCTGTTTGACTCTTGGAAAGACTGCGGGTTTTGGTTTAGCTGCTGGCCGGGCATTGTTTATGCCCAAGCCACCATTTTAGATCTGCCTTTCTTCTTCACTCTTGGCTAGGGCTTGCTGATACAGTTTCAGGGAAGCTGTGAGCATGCTCATGCACATCAGATCCTTATTTCCATGGTATGCCCTAATGACGGGTTTGAAGCAGTGGCTTCTACTCATGCACCTCCAGCCAGTAAGAACTCATGGAAACATGGGGGCGCACATAGACTGACTTTGTTTTTCCCCAGTGTGAGCATGGAGTACAGTTTTGGGCAGCAGTTGGAACTGCGATCAAACTGTTTGTTTTTTTTAATGTCCTGCGAAGTAAGCAGATCCTCCACAGGGTTTTTAACTAGCAGCTCTCCCTTCAGGGACACAAGCTTAGGCAGGAGACAAGTACCTGTGGCTCTGGCGCTCTGCCTGCAGTACCCGTGTTCACACTCCAGAGCCTTGATATTCCTCCTGGTACTTCTTAAGCAATTCTGTGATTATTCAGGAATTTGGGTAGCCTTTTTGACTCACGAGCAACATGCCTGGCACTAAATGGAGGGGTGGTTGTCCTGCATCTGCAGGCGACCCATCTAACCAGGACCTAATCTGCACGATAAGCAAGGTTAAGCTTGGCACAGGGAAGGATTGTGCCTTCTATGTTTTTTGCAGAGTCCAGTCGGATTTACCTGTCTGTGCTGCCATTTCTGACTTTCGTTTTTTGTTCATCCTCAGGGACTAGTTCCCTTTCTGTCTTACAGTGGAGGCGTTTTCTTTAGTTATGCAGTTTTTACTAGGGATGCACCGATATATCGGCCGCCGAAACATATAGACCTATTGAAAAAATAAAAAACATTTTCGGTATCGCTTTCGGCCTGACATTTTTTTTTTATTTCGTTTTTGTTTCGGTTTTAAAATTTCCATTTTGGTGCACCTCTAGTTTTTACTGTTTATTTGGTCCATCTTGTGGCTCTCCTGATCACAGGGGTTTTAAAAAGCCCACAAACCCCTTCGGAGGAGTCTGTGGCAGAGATGCCTAATATCTATGATTCTGTCAGCGACCCTATGGAGGACTCACCAGATCTTCCTCCCGTCCCTAAAATAAGAGATTCAACCAGCTGAATTTAAGTCAGCAGTTGTTCCATCAATACGGAAGTAAACTGTGTCCTTCTTAATCAAGGCAGTCCATTTCACCCCTATTTTGGAAGACTCCTCTGTCTGTTCCCCTAACACGGTATCTGGGCCCATTTCTTTTATATCTAAACGCTCCACCAAAGTGTTTCCTCATGGATAAAGATTGGAAACGCCCAGTCAAACATTTGTATTGCCCCAGTGCTGTTCCTGGCACTCTCTCCCTTGCTGAAATATTTGTTTCAAGAAGTGGTTTACACATCCTGTCGTCAACCACTTGTATCTCGCCTAAACAAAGCTTTGACTATCCCTATAGTAGATGCTCCTCCCTTAAGGACCCCACTGACAAAGTTGGAAGCAATTTGGTTTATTAACTCCTTGGTGGGCTTTGCCTAAAATTTATGTGTGATGTGGCACTGGATGCTAGCCAGATTATGCCTTAACCCTTTCTTCTGTCCAGATCTGCAGGGCGCTCTAGCTTAAGTGCTGGTCAACAGAGGAAACATGTAAGGCCTTGTTACATCTACCCTTCATGGGACTCTGTCTTTTCAGCTCTTCAATGGACAAAATAGTTAAATATTGGAAGGTGAGTTAGAGTACTTGCCAGAGAATACCAGACACTCAAAGTACACTGCAGGACAAATAGTGCACTGGCATTGCGTAATATCTGTGATAAAACTTTAATGTATATTAACTTCACAAACTGTGAAGAGGGTTCACCTTTGAAACACATCAGCTTGGACACATGCTAGAGGCATTAACTGTGTGCTACCGTATCATGGTATCAAGCATTGTTTTTATCCATTGGTAGAGTGAATATCACCTTGGATGATTTTTTTTTTTAATTAATTGCAATAAAGTTTTATCGAAAGTGCTGCGCGTTGACAGTTTCTTTATTAACTGTACACCATGTTAAGCATCAACAATGCCAGTCGACACCTTCCTATCATGCATCATATTGTCTCTTTAAATGAGGTTCCAGTTCCTAGACCTACAAGCCGCCTTATCTGTAAACAAAATAAGTCAAGGCAACTGGACTTGCTGTATTTTTCTTGATGTTTAACTGGTCATCCAACCAGCTTTCTCAATTCAGAGTGACTTGTACAAACATTCACTGGGAATAAATATGGTGAATGTGGCTCCAATCCACATACTCTGTTAGTCGCAACCAGGTGTTAATTGCATTTGCATAATTGGAGCTAGGAGGTGTTAACCTGCCCAGAGAGGTGTTAAAACAGCATTGTATGTAGCAGACAATAGATGTCTCACCCCCCACACCTCTATTCAAGTTTGGCTTCTCTATTTTTACGAAAAAATGGCCTCTTTCACACCTCCTTTTTTAAACCAGTCCTACTCCCTGTCTAGGATGCGTACTTGACTGTCTTCAAAGGAGTGACCTTTTCCCTTTAGATGTAGGTATACTGCTGAATCCTGACCAGAGGGTTTTGCTCTTCTATGCTGTGCCATATGCTGGTGTAGCTGCTGCTTCGTTTCACCGACATACAATTCTGAGCACTCTTCACTGCACTGGACTGCATACACAATGCTGTTCATCTTGTGTTTTGGCGTTGGGTCTTTCGGGTGAACCAGTTGTTGCCTCAGTGTATTGCTGGGTTTAAAGCAGACAGGGATGTGATGTGTTTTTAAAAACCCTTCTGAGTTTCTCAGACACCCCAGCTACATATGGGATAACCAAATTCTTCCGTTTGTCATGCTTTTCACCCTCACTGGCATTCTTTCCTCTTCTTTTTGTTTTGACAAACGCCCAGTCTGGATACCTGATACAAGCTTTCTTCCTCTTTCTTAGACCTGGAAAGTTCAAAACATCCTTGGCAAACAAATGGATCAAAGCCTGTGGATACGTTCAACAACACATGAAAGCCTACAATTTTCATTCAAAGGTAGAAGGATATCCAATGGTTTTCACAGAAATTTGGGAAGTTTGCTTGGCCAAAGCATGGGTGTGGGAAATAGAATCAAAAGGTTACTAAATATTTTCATGTCGTGCTGCAGCAATGTTGGGTTAAACTCCTTTTACCCATCTAGGGACTGTTGACTCAAGATCATCTTTCCGGTTCCCCAACTGCTTTCAAGTTTTTTTGTTAAACTGAAACCCAGAGGAGACTTTCATCCCATCTTGGGCTTAAAGACCCTTAACACCATTGCACGTTCTCAAAAATTATGGATTTAATCTATTCATTCAGTTATTGCCTCCCTTCATTGTGGAGACTTCATGGACATTAGGGATGCATATTTACACATTCCTGTCTTCAGGTTACCAGCAATTTCTTTGGTTTGATATGAGCAACAATCACTATTAGTTTGTTGTTCCTCCCTTTGGCCTTTCCTTAACCCCAGGAGAGTTTCACAAAGGTCATCAAACCAGTTCTTGACCTTCCTTCTCTCAAAGATATTCCAGTCATCAAATACTTGGACGATATGTTGCTGCAAGAACTAAACTCCAATGCGCTTATCACACTGCAGATCTTGGAGGAATTTAGATCCAAATTATTGAGATGTCATCTCTGATTCCATCACATCACTTGGAGTATTTGGGACTTCTCCTGGATACCCTTGAGGCCTGAGGTCTTCCTGCCCGTGGAGAAGTTGACAAAGCTGCAGAGTTAGGATAGGCAATTTCAGTCCCAGGAATTGCACTACATGCGGAGCTCTATGAGAGTGCTAGGTTTGATGGTACCCACCTTCGAAGTGGTTCCATTTGATGGTTCAATTCCACTTAACGGAATGTGCTCACAGCATGTCTTGTTAATTGAAGACATGGTTTTATAAGCAACCAAGGATTGGTGTCAATCAGGGAAAATGGATGCTCGCCCACTCAGCTATATTTTTCCTTGAACTGAAAGATTTTTTTCTACTGTTAACAGCTACTGGTAGATTCATGCCAGATATTGGAAATCCTAGAAGTCAATGAGTGCTCGTTTTCCTAGTTCATTAAGTATACTGGTGTTTTCTCAGCAACGCTCCTGCTGCTGGCAGCAACATGTCTATGCTCCAGTTAGCACAGGGCTTCGCTATTCAGGTCAGGCCAGTAAATCTTTAGATTCCTTGCTGAGTTATCTGGTTAGCTGCGGCAGTTCACTGTTTTTTCATTTGGTTGTTGGTCACTATGTGAAAGATATACAAATGTTTCCCTTTTTTACTACTGTACCTTCCAATATTTTAATATAGGTTTACAGGCTGAATATTGTGAGTTTAGACTCTCCTTACAGATGTTAGGATTTTATTGTTTGCCTGCAAAAATGTGGCCACATGGCCATACCGTTCTGTGAACCTGGTCCCCAAGCCTTCGTTCAGTTTGGTCTGCGAGTTTTCTGGGAAGTCGCCTTTACTGTTGGTAGTCAATGCTAATTTGCCATGTCTGGAGCTAAACGCGAGTCACCCTGCAGCTGCAAGGGAACCATTTGTGGTTATTACTAGGAACACAATTGTGCTCTATGCATGGCTGAACTAGGCACAGGAAAGGATTGTGTATTCTTTACCTCCTACGGTCCCCAGTCGGAGCTGCCACAGCCCCCTTTTTCTTCGGGTGCTCATTCCTTTTCCTATCTGAGGCAGAGGTGTTTTTCTTCTGATATGCAATGATTTATGTCTTGGTTGGTGCACATTGTAGCTCCACCTGATTGCAGGGGCTTAAAACACCCACAGTCACTTTTCCCAGCACACCCAGACACCTGATATTTCTGACTCTGTTGGGGAGCAAGCACCATTGGCTTAATTTCAGTCGGCATTTGTTTTTTCAAAATAGATGAAAACGGTATCCTTTCTACTTGAGGTGGTATGTTTCACTATGAAGTTAGCAGATTCCTCTATTCCCTTTCCTTCACAGTGTCAGGCCTTGGTTCGCATAGACCAAAACGCTCCACTAAGGTGTTCCCCCATCTCTTATTCGATTTATTTTGCTAAAGATTGGTAACACCCAGACAAACAAATTATTTGCCCCTAAGTGCTTCTAGGTACTTCCAGACATTTGTCCCTATTGAAGGCTTCCTTTAAGAATCTTTCTGACAAGAGATTGGAAGCAATTTCTTGACCCATGCTCACCTCGATACTAATCTCAACTTAACTTGTTGTTTGTGTTGACCATATGACTTTCGCACTGAAAATTCTGTACGATGCAGCACTGAATGCTAACTAGGTTGTCTTTTTTTCCCCCCTGTCCAGAACTGCAGGCTACTCTGGTTTAAGTGCTGGTCGGCAGACAAGCATGTAAGCAGGATTTGTTACTCCTGTATTTTGTGGGAGAATGTCTTTTTGTCTCTTAGCTGGACAAAATCATTGATAATAGGACAGAGCATTATGTGCACTCATTTACCCCAGGGATACAATTCCAGTCATCAAATACTCGGACAAATTCATGTTACAAAAAGCAGACCTCCCTGGCCTGGACCTGGGAGGACTTCAGATGGATCCTGAACATTAAGAAGTCCATCCCTGCCCTTCTCCTGGATACACTTAAGACCAAAGTCTTCCCCAGGAGAAGTTGACGAAACTGCAGAATCATATTCAGCAACTTCAATCCTGGAGTTGTTCTTCCCTGCGGAGTTGCATATGATTGATGATATCTACATTCGCAATGGTGGTTCCACGCTGCTCAATTACGCTCAATAACCTTGCAACAAAACATTCTTATGGTATTTGACAATTCCAGTCTTTCTCTGGCCAAGATGATTCTGTTACAAAATGAAACCAAGATGTCTCTGTCCTATTGACTTCTGTCCCTGGCATTATCAGAGGGCAGATTTTCTCTCCCCTAACAATGAAAGATTGTCCTGACAAGTGCTTAGGGTTGGAGCAGAGGTCTTGCTATCTGTCTGTTCAGGGTCATTCGTCTCAGGAAGAATCAAAGCTACCAACTACACCCCGGAGTTACGAGCAGTTCGCCTGTCATTAGTTCATTGGCCCTCTTCCGACTGGTTATCAGACAATGCCTCAGCTGTGGCTTACATCAATCTTTAGGAGGCCAGCAGGAGTGTTGCAGTGGAGACAGAGGTGGAGTCTACAATGGCCTGAGCAGAGTTTCATGTTCCAGCAATCATGGTGCATATTTCCGAGGTGGAAAACTGCCAGGCCGATTTGCTCAGTGAATAACATCTAGACCCGGGGGTGGGTATTGTCTCTTTATGTGTGTTCTAGGACATATGTCCACATTGGAGGACCCCGTAAGTGGATATGCTAATTTTTCACCTCAACAAACAACTGGAAAGACTTGTCTTCAGAATGTGGGGCACAATGGTGGATTCAACAATGCCCTCATGTTGCTGCGTTATCAGTATACCCGGATCTATACATTTCCTGCATTGAAAATGTTACTGTCTACTTTGAAAGACTAAGGCCAAGTTTCAGAGACGGGGGTATGTGTTCTTTCTTTTCTCCACTTTGATGTTCATTTTAAGCACAAGCGCAACCATTTTGTATAAAGGAACTGTATGTGCATTTTCAGTGCTCTCACCCCCTCCTTTCCTAGAAATGTAGTCCCACAACTTCAAGATATCCTTATTCTATAGAGCTATACTATCCCTTTTGTTAGCTCTGTACAACATTCTACACCACCCCCTTTCTTATCTTATAAAATCTAATGTGCCGCAATAAAAATCAGAACCGACCATTCAGACAAAACACTGTTATGTGTCATTCTTTTCCCTTCAATATTGCATACTGAAAAAAATCAGAGTCTCAACCAGAAATATCCACGACACCTCCAATTTGGGGTTAGAACAAAACTTGGCCCTTAGCATCAAAGGTAAGGTGTTTACATTCCCTTTTAAGCTTGTTTCACTAGGGCAGCGAGTGCTTCTTGCCATTGGTTTCCCTTATTGCCATGTTTTGTTTTTTTTTTTCTTGTGCTGGGTTTGTTTTAGTGTGCCCGTACCTACATCTGGACTGCTTTTGGACAGGCTTTCATGTTCCAGCGATCACTGTGGTGCACATTCACAGGGGGGCCTGTGGGGGGTGGAAAAATGCAGCTTCGCCTGTATAGGCAAAAATCCTTGCACCATCCCTGGGTGTTTCAGATCTATCTCAGAAGCACAGAGCTGCAAAGAAAACATTCCTTAAAAAGGTTGCTTTCAGACAATACAGATGTTTCTTTAGTCATGCTGATAAAAAAAATGCTTTACAATGCATTATATGACCAAATGGATGCAGGTGTCTGCTTTTCTCCTATAGAGGGTGCTATTTGCTTCTGTATGTGGGTTATGTGACTGTTCCATGCTGTCATGGCTATTTGAGGCTTAAAAATTATTAGGTTTATTTATTTCAGTGCAGACTGACTGTTTCAGGCATGTAGTTGTCTTTTTTAAATTCTAATATGAAACATTACGACAAACATTACTTAAAGCAGAACCTGTATATTATACTGGCAATTTTTGCTTAGCTAGTCTTTTGTCATTCAAAAATCCATGCCAGACATCAGACAGGCAGGCTAAAACCTTCTTTCTTGGCTTTACATCTTCCTATGGCAACTCTCTCCTTCTGTTGAGGTCATTGGACAATGAATCGACAACATCGCTTCTCTCCATTGAGCTTGGAGGTGTCCCAGGGAGCAGAAAAGGTGAACCAGAAAAAAAGCAGTGATCTTCCTGGATGTGCTGTCTAGCGGGGCTAATCACAATTACAAATGTATTTACAGCTAAAGCAATTTATACACTTAACATAAAAGTATGTTTAGCAGTTTGCTTTGAGTTTCACTTTAAAGTGTATCTGACCTGCTTTAAAACATTTCTAATCTAACAGTGCTGAATTAGAGGCTGTTTGTGTTGCCTGTAGTTAGTCTTCAAGTCTATCCAGCAGAAGCTCCCTTAACCTTGCGCCCAAGCTGTACATGGGATCTTAAATTCTTCTAATGTCTAGATTAAGCCTCAACCACTGTGAATTAACGGAAAAAGCAACATCACTGGGTAGCAGTGACCCTGGCATTTAACAAGTTAATGACAGCGTGGGAAATGGCTATGGGGATCAGCTTTAAATGTACACCTTGCAGAGAGGAAGTTCAATGTGCGTTCAAGGTCTTCCTGTCTGCTTTAATTTGTCAGTGTTGCATCAAACTGAAAGCAAAAGAGTTTCCCCCCACAGGGGTCTGTGACAGCAAAATCCAGTATACAACAAAACGTTCAGCCTCCTGATTAATTATAAGAGATTTGGGGTCACACACACCCTCTGCTCATCCCAGAAAAAAAATACATGATACCCAAAAGGGGAAAAGGGTGTTGCCCCCTTAACACTGTGTATGCTACTACAAAAATGTACCATCAGCGTATCTTATAAAATGCCACAGTCTAGGTGCCAAGTAAACCCCATCCATGACCCTGTTCTGGACCTAAAGGGGCTGTTTGTCACAGGGCTTAATCTTGGGCAGAAGTTGAGACCTATGTATGACCTAGGCCTAGGATCTAAGAGAGCATCACAGAAACACAGGGTTGGATTTTAAAGCAATAATTAGGCCAGGCATTTTGCATTCTGATTGTGCAATCTCTGTGCAATGTACGTTTTATTTTCAGGCTCTGCTTGCTCAGCCTCCTGTGACAGCTATCAGGATGGAGAGTGAGATACAAACACTCAGCGATCGCTGAGTGTTTGTACATAATTGAGGCCATAGTATGTTTACTATATGCTCAATTATGAATAAATGGGAAGTAATCTACATCACCTCCTGTTCATTCATGATTGTGTTTATAGTAAGTTATAGTAAACATACTATGTCCTCATGTTATGACTGAACAGGAACACTCATAACATGGGCTGTAGAAAAAGAGATTGAGGACTCTGTCTCCTCAATCTCTTTTAAAAGGGAAATATCAGGGGTCTGTTTAGACCCCCAATATTTTCCCAAAGCCCCTAAAAGTGAAGTAAAAAATACAAATATTTAATAAAAAAAATGAATAAATATACAAAAATATCAAGTTTACAAAAAAATATATATTTTAAAAATGTTAAAATAAAAAACATTTTTGGATTCGGCCTGACTTTTTAAAAATTTTGGTTTTGAAGTTTTCATTTCGGTGCACCTCTACTTAAAAGCAGAATGTTACCCACCAATTTAATGTCTCCCAACACAGTTTCTTTTAAGGCACGCCAACTATTGCAGGTGCCAGTGACCTTATTTCAGCTCTCAACCAAACTTTCACAGGCTAAGATGGCACCTTCCTTGGCTGTAAAGGATAAGAGGTTATGGGTTGTATTTACAAAATGGCTTATGTTGCAGTTACAGAAGATACAAGTTGAGTTTCCCGATCCACCTTGTTTTTAGTGAATTCACACAAAAAAAAAAAAAAGCAACAAAAGGCTTGTCGCTGACTTCTGTCACATCAGTGTAGATTGTTGACATAGGTCACAGCTGCGTAGTCACAGAAGAAAGGAAACTCATTACATTTAAACTCTGCAGTACCATGTAAGCAGCGCTTATATCTCCTGACTCTGAATGATAAATGTGGATTTGGATGACAAACAACAAATCTACAACATACTTTCCATGATTCAGAGCTGCTTTGGTCGTTACAATAAACGTGACCATACAAATTGGATGATGATTGGACATTGGAAAACAGTACCAGCCTTAAATACAACTTCACTTCAAAAAAATCCCCCGCCTCCGAACCTAATGTAAGTTAGAATTCCCTCACCCCATTGGTCACTTACATCTCTGTGACAGCTGGGAACTTCTTGGGTCCAAACGATCAGAAACTGGTGGCACTTGCACAGTAACTTCCCATAGACATGAATGGGGTCATACGGCTATACAAGAGAGTCAAGGATGGGGATGAGGAAACTCCGGCCCTCCAGCTGTTGTGGAACTACAAATCCCATGAGGCATTGCAAGATTCTCAGCCACAGGCATGACTCCCAGAGACAGATGCATGATGGGATTTGTAGGTTCATCACAACTGAAGTGCTGGAGTTTGCCCACCCCTGTGCTAGGAGTATGGCCAAATTCAAGTCTGGGAAAGTTGGACAAGTGCTGAGGAGAGGATTCCGGGCCTGAGTTTGCACCTTTTTTTTTTTTTTTAAGGGGAGCTTTACCCACCAATTTAATGACTCTCAAAACAGTTACTTTTAAGGCATGCCAGTTATCAAAGTTGCCAGTTATTTCGGTTCTCAACCAAACATTCAAGCCCTCAAATGGCAGGTATCATACCTGAGAACAGGTCCAGGCACCATGGCAACTGCAATCACAATAGAGGCCAAGATGGCACCTTCCTTGTCTGTAAGTGATAGAAGGTTGTAGTTCCACTTTAAATGACATTATCTTTTGAGTTTACTATAACTATTATAATGAAGTTGGCAAGCAACGTCTTCTTTCCCTAAACACGAGCACCCCTGTGTAGATAAAAGATTCAGAGAAGGATCTTCATATGGCAGTCCTGGCTCTGGAGAAAGCAATAGCAATATCACGAGGTCTACTAACCTGCCCAATCACACTGAGAAGACAGATTCTGGGCTGCCGTACATTGCCTCAAAGATACTGCATTGTCCTCCAAATCTGCCATACAAATAACAAATCAGAAGGCTTTAGAGCAGTGGTTCTCAACCTGTGTAACCTCAGGACCTACCTTTGTTCTTGGTCATTAGGTCGCCACCCAAGGTGCACCGCAATGGAATGCACGGCATTAGGGTACCGCACATTCTGGTGCGAGCGTACAAACTGTGTGGTAGGTGAGTTTTTGGGGGTACCATTCAAATCAATGGCAACGCAACACACCTCCCGCACCAGAATGCTCGGCAGGTTCAAATGCATGGTACAGTGCGTTAATGGGCTCTCAAAAACACTTCCATACACAACCACGGACACAATCTCACACACTCACAGACATTCTCACACACACATACACACACTCCAAATAAATGTTTTATTTTGTTTAATTTTTTTTAGGTCCACCCAGTCACCCTACCTTATGAGAACTGGAGTGGATCCTCAGCCTGGGGTCCAGTGTGGGCTGCTGTGCTGTGATGGGAGCTCCATCCATGTGTGCTTGTACAGCTCCCTAGATTTCCCTGTAGAGGTGCAGAGAGTCAGAATATGATGTCACTCTGGTCCAGGCACCTGTACAGGACACATTAGGGAGCTGTAAGCAATGCACACATGGATGGAGCTCCCTTGCGGCCATAGCCCCATCCTATCCCACCTCAAGCTGACAATTGGTGCCGGGCAGCATATTTTGAATGGCTGCTTGGTGCCAGAACTGACAGTGCTACGTTAGGGGGATGCAGAGGAGCCTCTCACCTAGAAAAGTAGAAGGCAAGCGGCAACCCACTGAACAAGGGGTCACAACCCACCAGTTGAGAACCAAGGCTTTAGAGTACTCATAAACATTGGCCACTATTTCTAAATGATTGACTTTGAACAGAGATGCCCTATAGATTGCAATGCCCTCTCCCCTAAATTATAGTGATGGGAAACATCCTGGGAACAACAACAGGTTCAATTTCTTGGCAGACCCACTAGCAGCCTATACTTACCTTCACCTTGCTCCCACGTCACTTTGTTCAGCCAGGGATAGTGAAGTGATGTACCCTATACTTCCAGGTATAGGGAGCGTGTGATTTACTCCTCTTCCTCCCATGTGACAGAGGGGGTTCTTAGTCAGTCAATGAGCGTTGTCACATGCGGGAGGGGAGAGAGTCCTCAGCTCTGATATTAGAAGCTTACATAGAGCTTCCTTTCTGTGCTCCCTGCATCTGATCAGAGCAATGGCGATGGTGAGCTTGTATGTGAACCTATTGCTTTGCCCTGTGTGGGTATATTCACGGGATCAGTCTTATATCTATAATATAAACTAATATTTGTATTGATTACATGTATTGGAAAATATTGCCTGTAGATAACTCAGGTATATTGATTGTCTAGAGCAGTGGTTCTCAACCTTTCTAGGGCTGGGACCCCTTGGTAACATTTGCCAAGTTGTGGTGACCCCCAACAATAAAATTTAGGGATGAAGCGGCTGCCGCAGCGACATCTGGCGGCGTGTCGGGAGAACTGACACTGCTGCGCTAGGAGAGGGCTGAGGAGGACTCTTACCTAGCACAACAGAAATCACACAGCAACCCACAGCTTGAGAACCACTGGCGTACACCGTCAGAATAAAATAAAAAACACCATAGGAATGCATAGCTAGATTCCTATTGGCTATTTCACTTTGCAATAGCCAATAGCAAACTAGCTATTGCACCCGCCCTCTGCTGCTGCTAATCAGCAGAGGGGGACCTGTAGTTCTCCGTCAGGTCCTCTTCTAGTGATTGACAGCAGCAGAGGGCGGGTGCAATAGCTAGTTTGCTATTGCAAAGTGAAATAGCCAATAGGAATGTAGCTATGCATTCCTATGGTGTTTTTTTTCTTTCTTGTTGTGACTTACGACGGCTGGCCTTTGGGCTGGTTTAGACTGGGCACTCAGACATTTTGGCTGCGTTTATGCATGCACTACTTTTTCCACTGCGACGCAAGGTATTGCAGTACCGCATGTTTGAGTGCATGGCAATCAGGAGGAGTATTGGAGCGTCATTCAAATGAATAGAAATGGAACGCATCTAATGCTTGGTAACACGCTAGGGGATGGGAATGCTACGCTTAGGTGTGAATGGGCCCCATATGTCCATATCTCTGTAGGGACACGGAGAGGAGGGAGAATCTGAAGGAGCCAGAGCATTGCACTTGTGATCCACAGATTGCAATTACTGGCTTCAAGTTAAAGTCGTGAGAAAACATGAATAAGTTAGTAGGAAGGTAATGGAAGAGAGAAGAGCCCCCTCCCTGTGTGAGTGAACAGAGAGCTCCAGCCAGACATGTGCGCCCTCCTCACCGGGCGGGGCACCCCGGAACTCCGTTGTTTATCTTCACTTTGCGAAGA